GCCCTAGACTCGAATCCCTGAACCCAAACTCCCAACTAAACCGACGTGCGCAAAGCAACGGTTTAGGTTCTAGACCCGACTAACCCTTAAGCAACGGCTTTAAGATCCCAAGAAGCATGCTAGCAACCCTGCGATTGGAGAATCTCAATTAGCCTAAACCCTGAACCTGAATCCTAAACCCTCTAGTAACGACTCTAGTCTAGTCACACCAAAGTCTTGAGAACCCCAAAGAGCGGCCTACACCCTAAACCCTAAACCGCAAACCCCAAACCCCAAAGCTTAAACCCCTAAACCCTAAAGCCTAAACGCCTAAACCCTAAACCCCAAACCCCAAAACCCTAAAACCCTGAACCCCAAAACCCTAAACCCCGAAACCCTGAATGCCATGGCCAAGTGCGATCTGAGTGCGCCCTTTGCTGCCGAGAGCTTGTCGCAGCGTCTGAGTCGACTCTCCGAGGCCTTCGGATTGCAGTTCTTCCCCAAGCAAGGACTAGTAGGGTAGTTCTCTAAATTAGGGCCCTTTCCTTGGGTTTCTCAAAGGGATCCATAAGGGTATCTATATGGCTTCTAATAAGGGTGCTATATGGGCAGTTCTCTAAATTAGGGTCCCTTTTAGGGTCCTCTTTATAAGGGTGCCGCACTATATAGGGACCCAAAAGGGACCCTGATTTACAGAGCTACCCATATGTTGTAAAGAAGTTTTATGGGGGATTCGAAGGGTTGGAAGGACTTTGGGGCATAGGTTGAAGGATTTAGGCTTTTGTGCGGAGGGAGAGGTTTGTCTTCGGGCTTTTGGGGCTTTAAGGTGTTGCAGGGTGTAGGCTTTAGGTTTGTAGGTTTATAGTTTTATGCGGTTGAGAGTGTAAAGGGTTTTGGTTTTTGGGTTAGGGCTGTTAGGGTTCAGAGTGCATAGAGCTTAGCAAAGTTTAGGGTATCCGGTATCACAAACCTGAAATCTGAAACTGGAGGTTGCACTAGTTATACTACCCATTCCATTCTTGTTGTTCTTACTCTGAGAGTCTTTACGAGGCTGATCGATCATGGTTGCTGCCTTTTGCTCTTGCTTACGACTGCTGCTCCAGTTGACCGTGTTTCATCAATCCTTTTGCCCATCCCGTCGGCTACCACTGTCATTACCACTGGTCGTGCTGATATTTGTGCTGTTGATGCGGCGGACGTAATCGTCAGCTTCCACGCTAGTCTTGTCTTTACTGTTGGCTTCAGTTTTTTGACTATGAGTGCCGGTGATAACTTCTGGATTGGTTTATCTTCTTTAAAATAAGCTTATGCTGTTTTAAATACTTATAAGGCACTGCCGCTCTCGGCTGTAGCTGGTGTCTGCAAACCCTAACATAGAAGTCTACTGTTGTGTAACATGTCCTCCAGACATAAGACCCGTGAAGGGCGCTCTAAGAACCTGAATCCGATACAGACCCTGTCTTAGCCATCTTAACCTGTAAGGTTCCCTATACTTTACGTAAATATACACCATATACTGTGTACTATACTTTGCGAATTATACTATATCCCGCTATGATTCTCTTTTTTGGCCTCTTTGGCCGGCGAGCTGTCAAGGTGGCAGCTGCTGAGGGGCTGGAGGCGGACGTCTACGGCCGCAGCGCAGGGCTTCAAGCCTTTGAGACCGAGGAGCCTCAACTGCTTTTGGTGCCTTTCAGGAGGTTGCCTGTAGGGGTTTAAGATTTAGGGCTCAGGGTTCAGGGGTTTAAGGTTTGGAGTTTGTGGTTTTCAATCACTTTTAGACGGCCTAGGCTCTGAGTGTGTAGTTTGGAAGTTAGTTCTAGGCTCTGACAATTTGTTTAGGATTTCTCGGGTCAGGGTTTTTGCGGTTTTGAATGTGTTTGGGCAGAAGCATTCAACAGACTTTTGGACTGCTATATCCTACTACCATCTAAGCGCCAAGCCCTAAACAATCTAGAACAAAGCCCTGAAACCCTAAACCCTGAACTTAAAGCCCTCAAGCTATGATGTCCTCAATCTGTCAAGGTTCGCGCCTTGTATGCCTATCTGTCGGTGTGTCTGTCTATCTGTTTGTGTATCTGTCTTTTCACCCATTCATCCATCCATCCATTCATCCATCCATCGATCTATGTATCTATCCATCTATCTATCTGTCTGTCTATCTGTCTATCAGTCTATCTGTCTATCTGTCTATCTATCTATCTCTGTCTATCTGTCTATCTATCCCTCTATCGACAGTTTCTGTCCGTATGTGTCTGACGATTCCTCTATCCATCCATCCATGCATCCATCCATTCATCC